TTAAGAATTACTTCTGAAATTTTCTATTTAATATTTTGGGACTGCACTTGACCTTAGCTAACTGAAACCATGGAAATCAAAACCATGGATGAGGGGACTACTGTACTCCAGGGTGAGAGGAGCTTCAAAGAATCTTGGAAGGAATTGGCTACAAACTTCAGCTCTAGACAAAGGGCTCAAGGCTAGAGCTGTGTATGTTATCACCTAACTCTTGACCTCTATGTCCACCCCACTTACCTCCCCCCAATGTGTAAGGAGTCAGGAGCTGCAGCTGGAAGGCAAGGAGGTGTCCTTCATCTCTGGCCACCTGGAGGTTTCCAGTTATAAGCAGGCTTTGGGAAGGGAGCGCTTTCACTTTAAATGGAATTGGGAGTTTTCACAATTCTCTTAGGGCTAGCTGAGTTTGTTACTGAAACTAGGAAAATGAGGGACTCAAAACAAATAAAGATGTTTTCTTGTCTGCAAGTGCATTCATTAAGTACAGGGCGTGCCTGGGGCTTCCCCTGGGCTAGGAAGGACCTGGGACCACTGTGCACATGGACACAGAAAGGGTCAGGGAATTAGATAGTTCTTACTGTATCTGCACCTGCTCACTCTGCACTCTGCATTTGCTCAAGGTGCAAGGCCTACAGGACAGAGAGGAGCAGGGCAGGGATGTCCTGGGCTTGGAGTATGCAAGAAACTCACATGGGAGGTGCATCAAGGGGTCATAGGACTGGAGGACAGGATCAACTGAGGATAGAAATTCCTCACTTATTTTCTAATGTGGAGAGTGCTGGTGAGTTTGCAAGAGGAACTTGTGGGAACAAATGCCCAATTAGAGGTTAAAAAGGTATTGAGAGTAATAACATTCTTGTTTCCCAGTCAGGGGGCTGTAGCCATGTTGGTGGCCCCAACCACGTTCAATAGCTGTTCCATGGAGTTCTCTGGCTTGTCTCTGACCTTATCTGGAGTGAGCATTCTTCTAGACCAAAGACCTTGTGCATCTTCCGTTTTGTTGAGGATATGACCAAATTGCCTCTTGTGCTCACCAATGTGGAAGTGCCCTTGTTCATATGAACTACTATCAAGTGTCAGTCTTTGGCTTCAGTATGCAGACTTTAATTTGTACTCCAATTAAGAGCAAAGTTGGGAATCTTTTCATATTTCCAAGAGGTATTTGTATTTCCTTTCCCCTAAACCCTTTGTGCCTAGCTGCTGCTTAGTTTTCCACTGGGCTTATTTTCCTTATTGACTTATATCAAGATGATCATCTGTTTGTGCAATGTTGCTATGTTTTTCTTATGCCTAAAAATTTTATGCCATTGATTGTGTCAATATTTTCATTTATGGTTTCTGGGTTTTTGCATCATCATTCAACTCAAAGACAATTTTAAAAACGATTCCCAATTTCCTTTTAATACTTTTATGGTTTCATTACAAACAAATTCAATCTGCCATCCTCCTAGAATTTATTTGCATTTCAGGCATGAGACAAGGGCTCAACTTAATTTTTTCCTGGATGGTGCCCAATCCCTCAAACATCATTTAGGTAATTCTTATTCCATGTATCAGATGGACCACTCCTGGTGTGAATTCAGTCCTCCTCCTGCTAGTCTATAAACCCAGCTGTTCTATTTTTTATTGCTTGGCTCTATAAAAGAGCATGTGTGTGTATGTGCACATCCATGTGTGCATGTTTGGGGGAATAGGCAGAAATATAGGTGGTGCTATGTGATTTCAAAGGATCCAGTTCTAAAATTCTATATTCCAAAGAAAAATCTATATTAGCTGTGGAAGGCACTGGCTTTTATGATGAGAATTTTAGGCTAAATTGGGGAAGATGGTGTGGTCATGAGATGAAGGCAGTGTTTGTGGCAGGGCTGGCCATGGTCACTTTCAGATGACCATAGAGGTTGCCAAGTATCCCATTTTCATATTAGCAGAGCTCTGAGGTCAGCATTTGGCTTACTGAAAGGGGTTGTACTGAGCAGAATGTTAAGAAGCAGTCTCTATTATTAAAAACAGGGCAAAATTGGTACCTGGGACTCAAACAGGGATTAAACAGAATTACACAAGGCTAAACAATTATTTCTAAATGAACAAATTGTAACAGTACTGCTCACTAAGATGTGCTGAACTTAAACAGCAAGGAAGGAAATTGAGAATAGCTACATTTAAAATTAGACTTTGGAGTTAAAGTAATTTCAGGCATCTAAATATTGCAATTTTTTAATAGTTGTGTCATTTCTATTTCAAGCAGAAATAGATCCCATCAGCTGGGTTGAAGTGAGGACTCATGCACACAAATCATCACATGAGCATTAGAAACGAGTTTGTGTCAGTTATGAAGGCAGAACATTTTTTTTGAAAAGCAGCTTCATTTGAAAACCTCTGGGAATTCTAAGGGCTCACAGTGTATCCTTAGGACTTCTCTTGAGTACATGAGCTCTGAGAAATTTCTAGACCTTCTTACATTTGCATATTTTAAGAATAAAAGGTTGTCTGAATGTGCCCCGAGACTTTTGTGTGCTTCTTGGCAAAGACTTGCTGGGCAGAGTGGTCCATTATGGCGGTGCTGTGCCCACCCTTTGGAATACCCATGTGTCCTCCATCCCTCCCCTCTCCCCCCACAGCACACAGGTGCAGCATCGCCTACAGAAGTCCCATGCCTGTAGGTTAGACCTTTGATGGTGTGGGCCTTTTTGCAAAACTGCTAAGATTGATTTTACTTTTCCTCTTATACTCCATGTTGATGGATAGAAAAAGAATCTGGTGATTAGTATGGGATATTTAAGGAATGACTCCACATACAGCATTTTTCTAATAGAAATTTAGCTGCTTTGCTGAGCTTAATGTATCATTTAATTTAATAAGCACAGTGCAGAAGTTCACTAAGGTACTTTAAAAAATTGAACAGATTAAATATGGACGCGAGGTTTATATAGTTCTGAGAGAGGCAATGCGGCCTTCTGAAGGTAAACAGGAATTTCCTTTTAGATAGTACTTCGGATGATATGTATTTGATCATTTTTGATAGAGCCACAGTAAGACTGTTAATTATAAAACAAAGAGGACCAAGCATAAACATCAAAATCATTTGCTTCTCACTTGAATTTTCCTAAGTGCTAATGACTCGTGGTCTACACGTTTCCTGGCATCTGACCTTTCAGAAATATATTTCTCTCTCCAGTTTCTACAGTGAACTGAGTGGCAAACGGGAAGCCCGTCTCCATGGTCTGTTGCCTCATTTGACGAGGACACATTTCTCTAAGAGCATTCTGTGTGATGGTGACTATTTTTCTTCTCAGTGGTAGAAATTAATTACAGGAAGGATTCAGTTTGGAAAGTTGGTGGAATGTTTCTGAGGACCCATTCTCTTCTTTTGCATTCTGTGTTTCTCCAAATCTCTGGGTGTTTTTTTTTTCTACATTCTTGTAATCTTTTCTGCTTACTTACGTGGGAGTGGAGAAGTTCTTCCACCTCCTTCCTGGCCTTCTAATGCTGAAGTGCTTTCTGCCCATCTCCTAGACATGTCTTCACTCAGCTGTCAAGATATTGAGAGGGTTTGATTTTAGATGTCCTCATCCTCCACACTGTAGTCTTCTACTGCCTGCATCTGGACCACCACAACCTTCCTCTTTCCCTGACTCATCACTTGTCCTGGCCTTCCCTTTTGCATGTAGTCAGACCTATGCATGCCCAGCTAGTCCTCCACCAGTGCCTCTCAATACTGAGGACAGTGGAGCTGCTCAAGTAATGCTGTTCCATGAACCTGCCCTTCACGGAGCCTCATTTCTGGCTCATTTGTTTAGCATGGGAGTGCCTTTCCTCGAAACCCTTGATTTTATCATACAACTGCTCTTGACTAACAAATCCTTCAAAAGTTGAAAATATTGTATTGTGGAAAGTGCACTGACTATACCTAACCTATGGAGCATGGTAGCTCAGGAGCCCAGCACACTGTAGAATGCTGGTTCTTTCCTCTTGTGACTCTGTGGCCCAGCATCCAGAGAGAGGGTCCAATGGATGAAATCAGAGGACATTATATTAAGTGAAATAAACCAGACCTGAATGTAGAATAGTGAATACTAGAGGTTGGAGGGTGGGGATGGGTACAGACAAAGGGAGACTGGATTCAATCAGGGCACATTCTATGCCTGAGTTGATATATCACACATTAGTTCATGTTAATCACAAATAAGTCCTATGTACGCCTGTATGTAAATGGAAAATGATACCTGTTGAAACTATTCTAGGAATGGAGGGGAGAGGAGGATAAAGGATGATGGAGGGAGTGAATTCAAGTATGATATATTTGATATATTGTAAGAACTTTTGTAAATGCTACAATGTACCCTCACCCAGCACAATAAAAATAAGTTAAAAATAAAATAAAATAAGAGTTTTGAAAGCCTAGAAACCTAAAAAAAGATTAGGTTTCAAAATTTAAAGTATGGTTTTTACCAAATATTAATTGTTTTTGCACTAAAGTAAAGTTGGAAAACCATATTGAATCAATATCACTCAGGAACAATCTGTATTACCACTGCAGAAGCTGGAGATCAAAGTTCTTCTAATTATATTTTAACTCACTTTGGAAGGATCTTGATCAAAGCAGTGATTGATTAGGTTTGGCCCTCATGCTGGGATCATGACAATGCAGACTGGGAAGAGTGCATTTTAGGATGCTGATTTTTAAAAACTGGAATGTTAGCCAAATATTAAAAAATTTTTTAAATGTGGCATTGATAATATTACAGTATTAGTATATGGCTAGCAAAATTTAAAAAAAGACCTAGAATACATCTGGTGAGGGGTTTTAAGATGATCTGTCTGTGTTTTGTTTAGTTTTACTTTTTAAAGGAGAGGTTGGGTGACTCCCCATCTTGCCAGGCCGATTTTCTTTGCCTGAAGTAAGCAGGTAGTTCTTTATTCTGGATGTTTGAGTGCAAACTCTCTGGGTTCTATAGTTCTCATTGGCATATGATAAAATGAATCTCTCTCCCTTTCCTCCTAAGGGAAGCCATCAGCCGTGTTTGTGAAGCTGTACCAGGTGCCAAAGGAGCGTTCAAGAAGAGAAAGGTACTGCCATTGGTTTCGTGTGTCTTACTATTTCCTCCTGTAAGTCCTCCACTTTATATCTTCACCACTTTATATCTTCAGTCATGCAGCCATCCGTTGTCCTCTTCTCGTGGCCTGGCTCTCGTCACTTGTAAAAGCAAAGAGAGCTGAGATTCCTGTCTCTCCTCTGTGGCCGAGGACAGTGAGCTGGCACTGCAGACACTGTGATTAGTCACTGTGGCTTAATCCTGAAGACAATGACAATAGCAGATACCTGGCCAGACATTTCTTTGGATACTTTATATACATTAATTCACTTAATCATAACAAGTCATTGTTGTAGATAGCTCAGCAGTGTGCTGGTAAGTGTTTAACAATCAGCTCGTGGGGTTGGGAAGGGGTTACAAAAGCACTGAATTTGTAGCATTTGCCAATTGCTGTGGCGCCAATACTTCTGTGTGACTGATCTCAACCTGATATCCCTGGAGACAGAGTCAGGAAGAGATACAGAGTATCATCACATAGCGCTCCCACCACACAGGCACGGTAGATTCGACCTGAAGATCATACGTAATAGTCGATGAAGCAAAACTGTTAGGGTACAAGGAGTAGTCTGTTTTTAAAATTTAATTGTAAAATTGTAAAATTGTTGTTAAATGAAAATTTAACAATAGCCGTGTTTAATGGTCAATCCATACAATTCCTAAAAACTTAATAATTGGCTCTCTTTAGTTGGAACTAGCTAGCGCTACAATAACATCAGAAATTCCCATGTTATAGAGATGAAAACTGAGGCACAGAGTTGAGAAACTACAATGCAAGTAGGAAGTGAACTGAGGCCAGGGCCAGACCACCTGCTCCAGAGGCTGAATATTGAACGATTTTACAATCTTTCATCCTGAACATGGTTGGACTAGAAGAAAAAAAAATCTGAATTAAGAGGAGGACACACGCACACACATACACACCCCTTCTTTAGTTAAGTGCCTAGCAAATATATAACTCAAAACTCATGGTCTCAAATTTTCTGCCTAGACAGAGTTATAAGGAAAGTATACCTTGGAGATCTGGCTGTGCCCTGAGGTTGAGCACTCTCCATTCCTGCACCTTTTGGGCAGGTGCATGGTTGCCTCTGCTATTCCCCATACTATAGGTTGTATCTGCCTTTAGAACTGCAGGACATTCATGACCCATAGGGCAACTGCATTTCAGGACGAGAACTCTAAGTGACACCTCAGGTATGCTAGCTTGTGTTCTGTTCAATCCCCTGAGGATCCTGGGGAACAAACTAAGGGTCCAGAATTTTGAGAACAGGAACCGGGGAAGCATTTGAGAAGTGATAGGTGACCTCATCTGTCAGAGCCGGGTGGTACTGACAAGTCTTAGGGTACCCTCATGGCTCTTTTGGTGGGAAGAAGAGGAAATAATGCCAGTTCCCAGGATTTGTCTCAGTATACTTGACCAGGATCTCACAGGTGGGTCAGGGCATCTCTATTTTTAAAGAACTCTTTTAGGAGTGTTAACTTAAAAAAAAAAAAGAAGAAGAAAAGGATTGGCACAGAGATCAAAGGAAATAGCATGTACCTATTTTATCTGAGAAGCAAAGAGCTACAATTTGGGTACACTGAATCAGGGCAGCCATGAATAGTATGCCCTAAGGCGAGCGTAGGAAGGATTTTAATTTTTTTTTTTTGGAAGGGATATCCATAAAAATTTGCTTTTGCAGTTCATTGGCTGTGCAGAAATCCTAAGCTGCCAACCCATTCTGATTGGTTCTCTAATGAGGGTACTCCCAGCTGAGAGCTAGAGAAAGCCAGTGGATACTAACTTAAATAGATGAATCTGCTGGAACATTCTGCAATCTGACCTTCAGCAGGTGGAGTGCACTCCTCAAAATCTCTGGACTCCACTTTAGAAAGCCTTAGCCTTAGTTACTTCATTTTGTCTCCCAGAAGATTAAGAAAGTGCATGCCTGGTTAGGAATTAATTGACTGATCAATGAGATGATGTTCTAATCCAAACTGAAAGAATGGGTTGTCCCAAAGGACAGAGAGATGAATGTTGCAATGCTCATTCAGGGACCTGGTTAGTGGTGGGTGAGAAGCCATAGCCCTTTGCTTTCTGACAGGTGAAGGAGACACCTGTCATAGCCAGCCTCTTTGTCTCCATTCTGTGCTGGCTCCCGGCCATCAGATTTTAACTGAACTGACTAGGTGAGCTCTGACCAGGAAGATGTTTGTGTCAAAAGACTTGTGGTCCATTCCCTTTAGTGGTGAGCATCTTCACCACCCTTTGAGATTGCTCAGAAGCCCCAAAGCTGGTCAGCTTATGTCTTCCCTGAGATAGTTTGATTTAGTTTTCTGAAGCCAGCTTTCAGCATCTGCAGAGCTGCAGCTGTTTTCCCAGGGTTTATATCCAGAGAATTCCATGAGACACCCATGCATGGCCAGAGGCAGCCAGGAAGACTGACACCGCTGACTGCCCTCATTTCAGCATTTGCACTGAATTCTTTTACAACTTTTATATGGCATATTCTAGCAAGTACATGTTAATGTTGGCTCCCCTAACCCCAGCTCAGCCATTTCACTCTTGTCCCCTGTGCCTAAGCGGGTGGGAGTAGTCAGTGAGCGTTTGTGGGTGTGCTGACATCTGTGTCTCTACCTGTTCAGACAAGAACAACAGAGGCCCTGACAGTATGGCCTTCGGTAAAGAAAAAGCTAAACTAATGCTGTTTGATTTTACAGCCTCCAAGCAAAACGCTGTCCAGCATCCTGGGAAAGAGCAACCTTCAGTTTGCAGGGATGAGCATCTCTCTGACCATCTCCACTGCCAGCCTGAACCTGCGGACGCCCGACTCCAAACAGGTGTGCTTGCTCAGTCCTCCTGGTCCCCCACAGAGCCCCAAGGATGGGTGTCGCATGGTCTTGCAGCTTACTGAGCTCACATAGAACATGTTTGTGTAAAATCGTGACCCGTCCGTGAACTTTGACCACTTTGAAGGGTCATCCACACAATGATGGATGAGTTGGGTCTTTGTAGTTTTGCTTGAAATTACCTTTTTTTTTTGAAGATAGCACATGAAATTATTAACCAATAATTAAACAGTAATACTTGCAATATAAAAAATGGTGCTGCATGTGTGAAAGTCTCCTTTTAATATCCTTGCCCTTTAGTGACCACATTTTATTGGTTTTATAGAACACATTTTAATTTTATCACCTTTATAGTGGATAATACACCACAGTTTAATTGACAGTATCTTTTCTTCCTTGGTGGGTCCATATTTTGGAGCATCTTACAATCCATAGTGTTGCAGGGTTGATGAGAAGTGGTGTGTCTATGGAATATAAGTCATGGTGGAATGAGTTCAGAGGTGACCAAGGTGGCACAGCCACATTTATTAAGGCTAATTTCAATTACAATGGTTGTGTTTCATGCAGTACCTATCTTTTAGGTTTCTTTATCTATCATTAGTTTCTTCAGCTGGAAAAAAAAGTGGGTATAGGAATGACTGTCCTGGCTACCAACCGGGCAGAAGGAAGCAAGGCAGAATGAAGGTCAAATGAAGCAAGGGAAGTGAAGACGTTTGTGCATGATAAAGAGGAATGTGGAGTGTGCATGCCATCCTCTGCTCTCCCAGGCCCAACCTCCAGTGCAAGTAGTGTGAGCTGGAAATTGGATGAGGCCTCCGTGTGACACACTCTCTGATTCTGACCATGTTGCCGGGAATGCCTTGGTCACCTTTATGTTACACACATACTTCTATTTATTGATTCCCTAGCTCCAGGTAAGCAAGGAATATCACCAGCTTCATTTATTCCTCCACCTCCCACCCAAGATGTAGAAATAAATTTTAGATCCAGTGTGAAATGAGAAGCAACATCCAGGCTTTGCTTGGGCTAAACTGGATACCACATCTCACTCCATTCTTGTCTTCCATGGACCTGTAGATAATCCCTTGTGTTTTCATGCTTACTCTTCCAAAGGTTTGGGTTAACTGACCCCTGAGGTTGTAGATCACGATGTTGGGCAGGCTCAGCCTTTCTCTGAGCTGTCTCAGGTGGAGCCCTGCCCACTTGGGCCTGCACTTCCATTTACTCTCCTATCCATCCTCTTTCTATATGGCTAGTGGATGGTTTATCTCTAGGAGCCTTCATTCTATGGGGTCTTATCCCTGAGTCCCTCCTTCTCCTTCATTCAGTGAAAGAGAAGGGGCAGTAAGGATGATGCGAGGATGACTGGCCTTGCTCCATCCTGGGATGTGGTGCTGGTTGGGTGAGTCCACTTCACATTTTCCTGCCCTTGCATTTGGTGGAGGGAACTGAGTGCTGGGTTCTGGACACCCAGGGGCTGCCCAGATGACAAAGGCACAGTCTGCAGCAGGTTGGATAGAGGCAGAGCTCAGGGCTCTGGCTCTCCCTTTGGCTGACTTTAAGTCCCAACCATAGCAAATAGTGGTCTGGCAAGACACTCCCTTCTCCATCCAGAGAGAGCAAACAGAATTCTAAATAGAAGAATTGAGATGAAACCTTCATAGCAGAAGCACATGCTGTCTATAACAGTCGCTTAGCACTAACTTTCTTTTTCTCCCTTTAATTTCTGTTACTGGAAGGAGTTAGAAACAGTCATATGATCTGGGGATTGCTATTCCTTGTGGTTCCTTTAGGAGCTGTCTGCCTCTGGTCTAAAGAGAAGATTGTAGAAATAGCAACTATTATTAAAGTCATCGAGGGCATAAGCTACCCAGCCAGTTTCATTGTTTTATATTCACTTCTGAAGTTTTACAAATGCCAACAACCAAATCAGACATTTAGAATATTTTATTTTACCTTATGGTTCAGTTGTATCTTAATTGCAGTTTACAGGAGTATGTTTGGGAAAATTCCTCAGATACCATGACTGTGAAACTCAGCTGTCTGCTGAGGGCAGGGGCTTGAGGCAGCTGCGTGGATACAGACTCAGTCATGTTGGGATGGAGCTGAGCTCTTTTCCTACCCCTAAAAATTTATTTCTACGTCATTACATTGTGTTTAAAAAGATAAAAATAGCCTGGAAGACTTATGTAGCTCCTAAAATTTAGGACAGCTTCTAATTTACTCAGTGTCTGCTAAATTCCACTCCACACTGCAGCTTATAAAGCCAATGGAAATTTCCCATTTTAAAATTAGCTCGGAATGTCCTGTCTGGTTTTTAAGTTGATAAATTATGGGAGTGCTTAAATGGCACTTTGAATCTTGGGTACCAGCTTTCTAAGTTATGTGCACATAATACATATGAAATGAAGAGAGGAATGGGCTACCTTTCCTTCCTTCCTAGCTACAGGGTCTGCTTCAGATGCCCGGATGTGTTTTTACAAACAGAAACCATAAGGTGCAACGTTTAGGTGTGGGTTGAGATTTTTTCCTTCTTGAAGAGGCTTTTGTTAAAATCCTAGCTTTGGAGAGCCTATATATGATCACAGACCTGTGATTATTTGTCTTCTTGTTTTGAGCAAGCCACTCAGCCCCTCTAGCCTCAGGCTCCTCACCTGTAAAGTGTCTTGGGAGGCTTAACGACAGATCCTGGCCAACCAGCTAGATAGCAGCCATCAGGCTAAGATGGTTCGCAACAGGTGATCCGGTGTATGTGCACTTGTTATTTTCCTACTGGTACCAGTTTTCAGGAAAGCTTGTCAGTTTATGTTGCCTGTCAACAAACAGTTGGTTTTGCAAGACTTGGGAGGGATAATAATGGAGCATCTCTTCTTGTTTTGGCCCTGGCAGATCATAGCCAACCATCACATGCAGTCTATCTCCTTTGCTTCCGGGGGAGATCCGGTAAGTGCCTGGACTTGTTTCTCTCGCTCTTACTACAAACTTCTAAGAAGGGACTCCTACCTCAAAAGTGCATCACTTTATGACACTGTAAAAACAGGTAACTGTGATTCCAACTATTTTTCCCGTTTGATTTCAAAAGCTCTTTTTTGACTGTTATTGTTTGGGGACCAGTAAGACATGCTGTTAACTTTCATTTCATTAGCCAAAAGCTGTCAGAAATTCTGGAAACCTTCATCTTCTCAAGAAGTAGCAAATAGCTCCCCCGCTTTCAGAGTTGCCTGGGTCTTCTAACATTGGCACTCCATGCTTGGTTTTGGAGGGTTTTCTTTGTGTGTGTGTGTTTCCTATTGGATCTCCAAAACTGCTTTCCAAAACAGGACCAAACCCAAAACTCACTGCCTGCTCACTGTTGCCACCCAGTCCTTCAAAGAAACCAGGGAGCTAGGGGACAGGGAAGGAGGGGAAGAGACAGGGCTGGCCTTTTCCAGCACTGAAGGGGGAAAAGGCTCCCCTTTCGCTTTCTCCCCCGCCTCCAAAATTATCATATTGATTTTCATTGCTCTAGGTAAAATTTTTACTAGTAAAAATTTAAATTAGTATGACAGAGGGACTTTTTCTTTGAGCTAAATTTATTCCATTGAACAATAAAGTTCTATATCCTGAAATAGCCTTTTTTTTTTTTTTTTTACCGTTTTTGGTGTTAAATAGCCTTTTAAAAACAATGGTAGGCTATAGGTTGTTGTGTTATATTATTTGGTCAAAATTTCAGTAGGCAATCCTCAGATTTTAGGCAAAAGTGTACCCACGCAAGATAGCTTATAAGGCACATTATATTAATCCTTACCTCAAGGTCAGGGACCTAGAGGAGGGATTTTCCCCATGACCTTCCTACCTCTTCACCAGGAGTCCTTGGACATGGGTAACCCTTTCAGAGAAATGCTGTTGGCTCATTGAAAATCAATTGACAGAGCCATAGCTAAAAATTCCAGAGCCTCCACATCCCCAATGGACAACACAGTAGGACCACAGGAATGGCACTGTTGAACTGCACTCTGGTCATCTTTGGACAACTAGGCTGTGACAGAAGGTCAAATCCCTTCCTCTGCTGAGTGCCTGTGGCTCAGGGTCTGAGGTGGGGTGCTGGAAAGTAGGGAGCCCAGCAACGCTCGAAGCGAGCATTGGCCCTGGCCTGCCAACAGCCCTTGTTGGTGCTGATACCTAATATTTAGGTTCTATTGTTTATTTTGTACATATTTAGGTAGCAGTGACAGTTAAAGTAATCTGCAACATTTTATATGTTGTTTTGTTTTGTCAGGAACATTGTTTTGAATCCTAATACACTCCACAAATGTGCCCAGAAGGAATCAAGACTGACATGAGAGCAGCCATGTCTTGACTTGGCTGTTGACCATCTCGAGAGGCATATGTCTCATTGCTGGCCTTCCTTCCTCAGCTTTGAGCCAGAGCAGAGTTTCTTAGTTCAGAGTAATAACGTGAAAAAAAATGGAATTTCCCCACATATGCTAATGCTGACTCAAATTAATTTTGTTAACTAAATATGTACAAAATATATATAGAACCCTTACGTTTATACTTTTTATTGAGCTCTAAACCCCAATAAAATTTGGAAGTTAAATACAAATAAACACTGTTAAGACACTAGCATTCAAAGTGACATTAATTTACAATGACTACAAAGTTTGCTGAAACTGACTCTATGCCCCTGACATGTTGCTGGACTGGCCACCAGCATGCAGAATCTTTTGAGTTCAGCATCTCTCTACTACCACAGGCACCTGGATGGTTTAATTCTCCCACTGATTTCTCCTATTAAAGCAAAAACTTCAGTTGTACATCATTTTCCCTGTTCTTTTCTTTCTAATTCTGTAAACACCTGGCACCCCTAATGCTGGAAGACCAGCTGCAAACCTTGGCACTGAACCTGCAGACCTAGTAACACAGAGGTTGTCCAAATGATCCTGGATATCCTCATATTAGTTTAAGATTATGGAGAGGAAAACACAAAATTGAAAAGCAAATTCCAGTGCTACCTCAAATGCTAGAAAGCACGCCCACAGTTCTCAGTTCGGGAGACACCGGTGCCCTCTCAGATGCTCTGGGAAGCTCTAAGGACACTGCTGACTGTCACGTCCATGAACGTGGGAAGGAAATCTGTGGTAATGAACTACAACCCATATATTTTCGCCAATAGCTTCAGCCCCCACCACTCATCCTTATGGAGATGACCGGAGGTTCACTTGATGGTTTGACTCCTCCCTTCCCTAGTCGGTTTGTGAAAGCACCAGTGAACATGAAAAGGAAGCAGGTTGGAGGGGCCTCTGGGAGAAGGACTCTGGGTAACAATTCCCCAGTCTGCACAGCTGCTGGAAGAGTCCTCTCTTGTAGGCTTGTGAGATCCAGTAATGTCACGGGGAAAGTGCTCAGCCCAACCCACCACCTTGCTCAGTGCCCAGAAAGGGCTCCATGCCCATCTACACCCACTCTTGCCCCTTTCTCCTTGCCCCATTTTCCAGAGTGTGCTGAGAGAGGGGTGCTTTTGTCTCCTCTGCTCGTGGACAGAAGCAGTGGAGGAGGCCGCCACAGAAACCCTTGCAGGTGCTGACAACAGCTAATCTGTCACCTTGGAGCCCTTCAAAGCAATGAGATTTGGGAAGTAGCTACAAACATAGAGCAACTTTACTAGTTTCCCTCTGAGATTTTTTTTGAATGTTTCAAATATCAACTTTGCAGAGAAGTCTTTTTGGCTTTCAAGATTTGGGAGTATGATTGGCTCCCTAATTACTTGTTGAGAAGCTAGTGTGCACAGCACTACTCATACAGAGCTGCCTCTGACACAGCTTTGGGGTCTTGTCTTCCTCTATGCACTAGTTCAATAAGATTGCAGGTGAGGAAACTCATATTCTATCTGGAAGGTGAGCCTTCTAAATACAGCTCATTTAAAAAAACATGTTTTTTCAAACTTTCTATCAACACATGTATGTTAATATTATACACAATAATGAGTTTCACGGTAACAATTTCATGGATGCATATACCTTACTTTGATATAGTCACCCTCCATTACCCTCTCTTACTTCCCTCACTTCTCCCTCATTTCCTTCTTTTTCCCAAATAGTCTCCCTTCAACTTTTATCTTTTTTTCCTTAGTTTCCATATATGAGAGAAAACATGTGACACTGTCTTTCTGAGTCTGACTTATTTTGCTTAACATCATGAGCTCATGTTCTGTCCAGTTTCCTGCAAATGACATGACTTCATTCTTCTTTATGGCTGAATAATACTCCGCTGTGTGTACTTACCACATTTTCTTGATTCATTCATCTGTCAATGGACAAGCTAGGCTGGTTCCATATCTTAGCTATTATAAATAGTGCCGCTGTAAGCATCTGGGTTTTTTTTCGATAAAACAGAACATGACTGTATTTAGATACCTAACTTCTGTATAACCAAAAAATAAAATACCACAATAAAAGAAAACACATTTTTCTCATTTGCAATGCATGACAAAATGTTTACATACTTAATCATAAGTGACTTCTGAGGAATAGTAATAAAGGAACTTACTACAAGAGGATGAAAAGAAACAGAAAATAAACTGTTAATGGATTAAAATGATTGCTATACCCAAGACAAGAAGAGTCATTTACCTCATTCCCACATGAAGGTGGGGGGTGGATGTTAACCAATCTTTGAATATGCACTCTGGTTTTCTTCTAGATCAAGGGTTCTCAAAGTGTGGTCCTCAGTCCAGCGGCAGCTGTAACTTGTCTGAAATTTATCTGGAGGCCCCAGATCCACCAGATAGGAAAGTCTGGGGTGTAGTCCAGCAATCTGTTTTAACACATTCTGCATGGAACTTTGACATGAAGTTTCCTCATGTAGACATTGCTTTCAGCTTTCAGCTTAGGTTCACATTAACATTACTTGGGAGTTTTTTAAAAATGTCCAATGGGCAGGCCTCACATCCAAACTAGTTAAAGCAGATTATATGAGCAACAGGACTCAGGAGTCTGCGTTTTTAAAGCTTCCAGGATCCACCATGCAGGGAAAACAAATGTCTCTCGTCCTGCTGCTGTCAGTAAGGGCGCAGACCACAAATGTGGAAACGCAAAACCTTGGGCCCTGGTAGAATCTGTATCACAGGAACTCTGGGGAATTCCTGCCTACATCATAGTTTGAGAAAATGCCTTAGTTGGGCAATTTGTAGGCAGCATTTGAACTTATTTATTTATTTTTAGTGCTAGGGATCAAACCCAGGGCCTCTCATCTGTGAGGCAAGTGCTCTACCATGAGCTATACTCCCGGCCCTGATTCTTTGGCTGTGTGATGAATGAGTCCTTCCCAGAATGTGGTTGGGCACTGTGTCCTTGTGATGTTGCCTCTCAGTGTGACAAGTGATACGGACATCATTTTTTTTCCTTACAGGACACAACAGACTATGTTGCCTACGTGGCTAAGGACCCTGTAAATCGCAGAGGTAAGCAATGCTTGACCTTTGTAATCACTCATCTGTGTACAGCCAGACTTAATGTACATACCAGCTGTTCTTCATTACCTCAGTTCCCATCATCAAAACAAGCATGTGCTATATGGCATTATTAAGAATTGAGGTAACACATCACCTGGCTGAGTGAGGAGGCTGCGGAACACTGAGCATAAAACTCACACCTGTATCCAGATGGCTACAGACGCCACACCTGACTTACACATAGCAGCTCCCACTGGTGCACTGACAGTGACCTTGGCTGTACCTGGAAGACTCTACACCTGCCCATTGTCCTGGATGCCTGGATTTCATTCTTTGTGTGTGCTCACTGTCCTGTCCCTAGCTCTAGTGTTGCAGTTCAGAGTGTGGTCTCCTTATATCCCTTTATGCTTCTAGGGCCTAAGCACAGGCTGGGACTCCTGAGGACTTCTTCTTCATCCTTAAGTCTTTCTTCAGCATGATGTTTTGTGACTTGTGGCTTGTCTTAAAAGAGGCATTTGAAGAACAAGAGAGTTAGGCAGTTAGTACGTCAGTGGCCCTTGGAAACTACTCCCTAACCTAGCTATAAAGATTTGCATTTCCATGTTATTGTGTGAGGGTTTATTTTTCCACTTGGGCCTTTACCAACCCTGGGTTAAGGAACACTGAAGTTGATGGGCTATTTTTTTAATAGTGTCCTGAGGTTGGAGGTAACAAGGTCATACAAAGTGTTTTAGCTCTGGTTCTTCCCAGGCAAACTTGAGCTTCATCATAAGGCATAATTTGGGAGAAGAGGGCTTCTGTAGATGAGGTAATGCAGGTTCAAAGACAGGTAGCTTCCTTATCTATAATTGTCACATTGTCACTCCTGAACAGAGGTGGAGACAAAGGGAAGGAGCCTGGGTGGTTCTGATGAGCCTAGGATGGTGCCAAGATGCCTTGCTAACATAATACTCTAGCCCCCAACTTCTTGAATGACTGCAAGTAGCCAATGTTTGTCTCAGGTGAGCAGAGGCGGCACACCTGTTCAGTTAGGACTGGCATCTGGGCCAGTTGTGCAAAAGCCAATCTCGTCAATTTAGAGGCTGTATTGTTAGTTTCCTAAGGTTTCTGTGACAAAATACCACAAACTGGGTGGCTTAGAAAACAGAAATGTGTTTCCTCAGAGTTCTGGAGGCTGCCAGTCAGAATTTAGGTGTCAGCGAGGCTGTGCTCCCTTTGAGTCCTTGAAGGGACCTTCCTCACTTCTTCCAAGCTTCTGTTAGTTTCTGGAGATCTGTAGCATTCTGTGGCTGTAGATGAGTCACTATGACCTTCAGTAGTCACATGGTGTTCTCCCCATGTCTCTATGTCCTCATGTGGACATGTAGTGGGAAGGCCAGCCATATTGGGTCAGGGTCCACTCTACCCCAGTAAGACCACAGGTTAACTGGATAGATTTGCAACTGCCCTATTTGCAAACAAGGTCACATTCTGAGGTCCTGGGGGTAAAGACATCAACATAATCTTTTTTTTTTTTTTTAGAGGAACACAATCAACCCAACACCGATGCCAGTCCCTTTACCTATTCTCAAGTCCCACCAAGTCAGGGGAGGGAGTGGAGGAAAGGAGAGTGGCAAGCTGCACCTCACCACACACAGGATTCCCCAAGTTCAGCCTGGAGATAGCAGTCATTGAAGTTGTCTCTATTGTAGTTTGTTTCAAAATAAGTTCAAGTAATCCTGGATTTTTTCTTTTCCTGGACACCTATACTAGGTCAATGGTTCTCTAAATGAGCTACACTTTATAGTCACCTAGGGAGGCTTTAATAATCTCAATATGGAGGCCCCAGAGAGTGGGATGCAGTCAGCAATGCTTTGGGTGATTCTCTGTACAGCAAGATTGGGAAGTAAGGCCAGGGCTACCCCTGAAGGAGTTTGATCCCCTGGCATTTTGCTTCAGGCCATATAAGGCCTATTTTGTTTCACAGGATCTAACCAAGAGTCATTCTGCCTATGGTCCCTTTCCAGGGCCACAGGGATCAGGAGCTCCTCTGTATGCCCGTGATCCCTACACCAGGCTTTCTCTGAGAATCGCATGCAGTCTATTGGGATCTTGGAGGAAAGTGTCTGTGATGGGCTGAATGTTTGTAGCTCCCAAAATTTGTTTGTTGAAATCCAAACCCCCAGTGTGATGGCATTAAGAAATGGAATCTTTGGGAGGTGATTAGGTTACAAGGGTGGAGCCTCATGAGAGGACTCTGTGTCCTATGGAAAAGGTCCCAGAGAGCCCTCTTGCCCAGTTTTCACCATGTGAGGACACAGCAGGAAGGTGCCATCTGAAAACCAGGAAGAGAGCCCTGGCCAGACACCAAATCTTCTGGCACCTTGATCTTGGACTTCCAGCTTCCAGAACTGTGAGAAATGAATGTCTGTAGTTTAAATTCCCCAGTTAATGGTATTGTGGTATAGTAGCCTGAGCTAAGACAGGCTTTTATTTAAGATACTGAGTGGAGAGATGATCATTCTTTGTTCTATTACTCCATGCTTAGTGGTTTAACAAGAACTATTTTATTATATTTTATGATGGGTCAGGAATTTAGTCAGGGTTCAGTTGACCAATTCATCTCTCCCTATGGCATTAGTAGGAGCCATTGATGGTCTTTAAGTGGTGTCAGGGCTGGTCTCACAGGTCTAAATTGGCTTCATCTCCATAGTTGCCACTGGCAGGAATGACTAGAAGTCTATGTCAGCAGGTTCTTCTCTGTTCCATGGAGACTCAGGGCTTCTCCAAGTGACCCCTCCACCCACTAGGGCAGTAGGACTTCCTATAGGGCAGTTCTGGGCTCCATAAGACTGAAAGTGGGGGCTTCCAGTGCTCTTAAAGACAGCTTTACTTCTGCTAGAGTTTATTGTTCAAAGCCATCATTGTGGCTTAGGTTCAAGGACAGGGGAACTGTGCCCAGCCTTCAAGAAGAAGAGTGTTAAGGAATTTGCAATCTTTACTGGTGTTATCCGCCATGTCTGTTTTCCATGCTGGGAAGGCCCAGCATTCTGGGAGACAGTGTGGGTGGAAGGGGAGGGGGACTGGTTCTAGCTGTACCCCCCCAGTAGGAACATTATTTCTGAGCATTTGTCTATTCTATCCATGTCCATTCAGCATCACCTCCTTCTGGGAAGGAGCCAGTGGAAGGGCTTTCTCCCCTTTCTATCTACTGCTTCTATCCCTCCTTCTCCTGTAGGGACAAGTGACTGGTTTAATTTAGTGTGAGTGACCTCTACCATTGTGTGGTCAGATTTGTGAGAAATTCTGGTTCCTATTCTGGCTCTCAAACATCTAAGCCCTCACATAAAGGCCTCTAGGTCTAGTGCTCCAGTAGCAGTGCTTGGGCGCTGTGCTTCTCAGACTGTAAGTTCAGTTCCTCAGGACACATGGGGCCCCAGAAAGTCTTAGATCGAAAATCTATAACAATAGGTGATGGTTTCTTGCTGTTGTTACTCTTTATCGTTTTCACTGATTCTGGCTTACACATTTTTTGCATTGGTTTCTGATTAATTTAGAAGTATTTCTAATGAGAATCTATATTTTTCTGACTGGCTTCTATAGTTAATCTGGTGGAGAGCAAGAGGTCATTCACTCTAGTCATTTAAATTGTATGGGAATGACACCTTGCATCTCAAGGAGATAAGGGTCACACGTGAGTGAAATTTTAGGCTTTTGGGGCCTTATGGTTGAAAAGCAGGACCAAAAAGACACCTAGAGATGAAATTCCCAACATGTCAGTCTTTGCTGAATCCTACTCTCCCATTTTTTTAAAGTCAATTTAAAAATTGTATTTAATTTTTAATTGACACAACAATTGTGTATATTTGTAGGATTTTAACACATGTGTACAATGTGTAATGATCAAATTAGGGTAAGTAGTATTTTTGTAACCTCATTTATCATTTTCTTGAGGTGAGAATATTCAAAATTCTTTCTTACAGTTTTTTGAAGTATGTAACATGCTGTTGATGATAGTCACCCTATTGGGCAATAGAATACCAGGGTGTATTCCTCCACCTAACTGTAATTTTGTTCCTGTACACCAATCTCCCCTCATCTCCTCCTCCCTACCCTTCCCAGCCTATGGTCCCCATCTCCACTCCATGACATTAGCTTTTTTTGTTCTATGTATGGGTGAGAAAGTCATCTTTCTGTGCCTGGCTTATTTTACTTCCAGATTTACCCATATTGCCACAAATGACAAGAGTTCATTCACTTTATGACTGAATAGTATTCCATTGTGTGTGTATACCACACTTTCTTTATTCATTCATCTGGTGATTGACGCTGAGGTTGATTGCATTTCTTGGCTGTTGTGAATAATGCTGCAACGAACGTGGAAATGCAGATGTCTCTCATTTCATTTCACTTTCATTTTATTTCAGGTTCTTGAGTAAACACCATGTGGGAACTCTCATTACCACCCAGTGACTCCTACCACTGCAAACTTCTGTATATATTACACAGTTCCAAATGGTCTTTTGGGGTCACAAAAGTGACTACAAAATGATGCTGAAATTAGACACATGGTTGCCTACAAGATGCACGTAATTTGCATAACTTGTAACTGTAATGGCACCATGGTCAGGCACTCTTTAGTGCCCTCTGGACTGAGCCACAAAAAGCCACAGGCCAGACATAGGTGGTGCTGACTCAGCAGGAGAGAAATCGCTATAATTCAGCCTAAACAGCCTCAAAGACAGCCTATGCTCTTTCCCTGGGAGAGCTCATAGTTGGGCTTGAGTGGCAAGCCCATAGGTGGGAAATGCTGCCACAAACAGCCAAATGTATTAATACTGGCCTTCTTTTATAAGATGGTCATTTCAACAAGAGGAGTCCATTTTCTTTGGCGTTGGACCATGGCAGGCCCCAAGTGGTGATTTTCTAAGAAAGGTCTTAAATGATAAGGCCTCATCTCCAGAAAATAATTCAGCACCATCTCTGTATATTAGGTACATGCAATGCTTATTTAACCATGAAATTAAATA